GGCCTTGGCTACACTTACCGGCAAGTTCGACGGCTGGAAATCGAACTTCTGGGTTCGTATTATCGCGTTCTGACTGGACGCGATAAGTCGAACCCGGAAGTGGCTCGCCGTCGACTGCGGTACTCCAGCTCGCCGAGAGGAGTACCGCGGAGTCGACGGGGGAGCCTGCCTGCCGAGTGTGGACCAAGGTAAGTTTCAACTAATTCGAAATAAGGTACTTCGAACTTCAGCTACGTTATTCACGTAGCTGAAGTTGCGTACCTTAGTTCGAATTAGGGGGGGTAGTGTAGACCAAGCCTTGTACTCTTCCTGAAATATTGTGTTACTGGGATTACTTCCACCTCAGGCAGGTGCCTGAGGCTCTGGGGTTTTTGTTACTTTAGCACTGAGATTAGGATTTGGTATTATCCTCTAGCTGAGTACAATAAGTATAATGCAAATGATGATACTGTTAGTGTTTCTTGTACTGCAGGTTGCTACACATTATAGGCAGTTACACCTAGTTGTGCCAACATCTTGCGGTTGAAGTATTTTCTCTTATCTTCTTTCTCACTTCACAGTTTTTATTGGTATGATGATTTTTCCCAGCACCTCCCTTTCATCCAGAAGATCCGACTTTAAAGTGCTAAAGGTGTTCCCAAGTATGGTAACTTGGTTCTGTAATGAAGTAACCTCTGCAGCCTGTCCCAGAAACCCTGAGAGATTTATTTGGGCTTTCATGGGTAGAAGTGAGGTTTTTACCCACGAAAGCTTATGCCCAAATAAATCTGTTACTCTTTAAGGTGCCACCAGACTCCTTGTTGTTTTTCAAATTTATTAGAGCATAAGCTCTAAAAAATTTGTTAGTCTCTAAGGTGCCACAAGTACTCCTGTTCTTTTTGCGGATACAGACTAACACAGCTGCTACTCTGAAACTTGTTGTTTTTGTAGATACAGACTAATACAGCTACCCCCGATACCAGAAACACTGGGTCACTTAGGCTAAAAACTTTACTGGAAACCCTTTTTTTCTTCCTGGCAACTGCTCTTGATGTGCACACCCCTCCAGGAATCCATGGCTTGTTCTTGTGTCTTCCTTCTCTGCTGAGTGGTACCTTTAATCCTTGCAGTGAGAAACTTAGATATGAGACCAAAACAAGGCTGAGGAGAAAGAGAGAGGGTCTGAGGCATTTATCTCATAACTGGAAGTAAATGATGTGAGAATAGATTAAAAGGACTAAATATGTACATCTTGGATAAGAAACAACTATGGGGTGCATGAGATAAATCTGATATTTGAGGAATATGAAAAACAAGGAGAGAGGAATTTAACATAATGAAATGGGGTATAATAATAATGTGGTGAAATTAATGAAGAGAAATTTTAGGCTGAATATTGGGGAAAAAATGTATCAAAAAGTACTAGTGGCACATTTAAACCTAGGGACAAAAATTGGCTAATAGAGGTACAGTCCTGTGTTGACAGATGGTCTAGATGGTTCTTTCTTTCTTTGAAGTCTACGTTGCATAATAGGTTGTATTGTCTCCTTTCGCATACTTTTACCCTTCTTAGATGGGAATCACTATTGCCTGACAGGGCTCACCAGCAGGAACACCACATCATCCTCCAGGTTGTACAAGGTTTCCTTCAGATCATTCATGCTGAAACCAGCTCATAGTGTCTCCCAAAGCAAAGCATCGTGGGTCCCCACCTTCTGCCCTTCCTTTTTCCCGTTTTCTGTTGCCCCAGGGAAGCCAAAGACCCTTTTAAACAAAAACATAAAGCTGCTTCAGGTGCATACACTTTCCCTGTTTCACATTGTTTCCTCTTTGTTACTAACCATATGTCTGTCACCAAGTAAAGATTATTGTGAAAAATGGTGGCTGTGCAATGACTTGAGAGAGGGAGGGAGAGAAAACAAGCTGGTGTGGTAGCTGAAGTCCATTAGCGAGAGTCAGTATATCTTCAGCCAAGATAAATAACATTCCGCTTTTCCGTGCCCGGCTTAGAGAGATGAAATCTGGTGTGGTAGGCTTTTTATTTATTGTCCGAAAATAATTGTTACACACTCCATCTGAAATATCCTTTCAGTTTTAAAAAAACCACCTTGAGCAGATAACTCACTGGGCTGGAGAATACTAAGACAGTGTTTGTGAGTATCAAAGTATGTGCCAGGAAATTTGGTTTAGAAAGGTGCAGTAAGCTGCTTTTTCTTTCATTTTCTCTGCACTTAATCTGTGTCTAGCATTTTTGTTAAACTACTGTTTAACATTTTTATCTGATACTTCCTCCACCTGTATTTTTATACTCTGAAGGAAGGAGTAGTTATTTGATCAAGTATCACGGAGTAGGGGAGGCGAGGGAACAGAGAAATAAAGCCTTTCGTGATAGCATGTAAGAAGATACAGTGATGTCTGCATGTAATAACTATGTCAGATAGCCAGTGTGTGGCCTTAAGGCTGAATGTGGCTCATTGGCGTTCAAGAATGTGGCCCTCAGCTGCCGTCATCTTTAGTATGGAGATGCATCCACAGGGACACACTCTTCATCCAAGAGGAATTCTACTCTGCGAAAGTTGGAGTCTTAGATCTAAGAACAAGATGAATCTCACAGCATAATGGGACTTGTATTGTCAGCATCCTGTACCTCTACATTAAAGATGAAGGCAGCTCCATTTTGTGCAAATTATGTGTGGTCATCATACTTCTGGCAAGAAGCTAGTGCAGTCTTCTTTTGGACAAAGAACACTGTAGAGAACAGTCCTGCACAGGGTGTGGACTAGATGGCTTCACCTATTTTACAACCATAATTTCTATTATTCTGTGATGATAAATTTGTATTTACATTTTAAAATAATTATGATATACTCGGCCCTTATTATATGTATATATATCTTTGTTCTTCCCCTTCCTTTCCAAAAATAATACATAAAACATAATGTATCCATAGTACAGATTATCACTATGGCCTGTCAATTAAATTCTAACATAGATTATCTTGTTAGAAGGTAGATACAGTGTGAAAGTCATTGCATATTTCACAGCACTTAGAATGAAAAACAAAACAACTACTCTGCACTTTCTGTGTACTCCTATAATTTAAAAATATTAAAATGGATTTCTTTAAAAAAATGTGAATAATAAAATTTCTGTCAAGCTTAGCATCATGTTTCAAGTTTATGGAGGAAGTTTATTTTCATATAAGTGATGGTCCCAAGTCATAAGTTATGAACCTAAGAAAATAGGGGAATATTACAAAAATATTTTCAGACCCTTAACTGTAGATAAGAATTTTGTACGTGTTGTGTATTGCGTTACTTTACTGTATTTTAATTCCATATAGAATGATATTCAGGGCAAGTCACTTTTAGTAAAATAAAAATGCAGGAGGATTCATGCAGTAGTTACTTCTGATTTAGCATTTAGAATAGGTTTTATTAAAAAGGCAATGAATATGTTCAGTTGATGTACCAATGCTTAGATCACTGTAAGTTTGAGATTTAATTTAATAGGAGCAGTCTCCATTGTGTGACTGCAAGAGAGGCAGGGGACTGCCTGATTTCTACATGGGGTCAGAAGCAGGTTAAAAGTCTTTCCCTTTCCAGTCTTCTACCAAGCCTAATTAATGTATACCATGGCTAGTGCTGTAATTGCGATGCATGTGGCTTCTGGCATCTGGAACCATGACGAGGCTGAATTGAAACGCTGTTGGAGGGAAAGTTAGTCAGGGTTGTGTGGAGCATACAGTAATACAAGCAATAGGTCTGTTGTTTCATCATTCAAGTGACAAGCTTTTTATTGTGTTATAAATGAGTAAGTTGTTCAAAGTACCTTCTTAGACCAAAAAAAAGAGAAAAGAAAATCCTAATGGGAAGGAAAAAGACTTACTAACAGATTTTCTAGGCTTTGTCTATTTTAAACATGTTTACCCCACTACATCCTTTCAACCAGAATGGTGGAGGAAAAGTGGGAGCCACATTTCTGTTATCTTATGCCAAAGTCTCTCCTTGATCAATCATGAAACCCTTGGATGCACTTGAAATGTCTGGGAGGCCTAAGATGTATGTCTGAGTGTTACAATATACTGCTTGTGTCTGGAATTGGCACCTCTTGTAGCTCTGTCTGATGGAACAGATTTGATGGTCACAACTTCATGGCATAATATCTAGCACATCACCACAGAATGTCTTGTGGTTTAGGTTTTTGGGGGGATTTTTTTTTTTGGCATTCGGTTATTGCATTATATCATAAAATCCAGTGCTACAACACAACATCATAGTGTGATGACTTTGCAGGCCCCCAACATAATATCTTCTTCTGGGATATGGGAAGGCATGATAACCCTGAGAAAAGCCCAGACAATCCTGCCTGGGTGACCATCTTCACAAAGACTATAGATCCCAGCTTGTGATATTCCAGGCTGATCTGAGCAGTGGGTGACACTATATTCAAGATGGGGCAGCTGCAATAAGGTTTATTTTATTGAATTTAGATGAAATCCTTGGGCTCTTGGCACGTTGCCTGTAAAGCCCTGGGTTGTACCAAGCTAGAACGCCGCTCTAAAGACTATTTTCCTCTCCTTATTGAAAACTGGTGTCAAGATTGGTGGGTAGAGGAGCCATTAATGCACATAAAACTTTGCCTTACATCTAATCTCAGTATGGTTAATTTTAAAACCCATCCCCTTCCTTTGTACTTTGGTTTTTCTGCTTTAGTGTGAACAGTCTCATCTAATGAGAGAGCATGAAGACGTACAGGAGCGAACAACACTACGCTATGAGGAACGAATCACAGAGCTTCACAGCATTATCGCTGAATTAAATAAGAAGATTGACCGACTGCAAGGAACAACAATAAGGTATTGCAACTCCTATGGAAGTCTGGGCAAAATTCAGAAGCGGTATACGCGGTGGTGTACAATATACGTTGAGTGTGAGTTAATCATAAAAGTGGTATGGCTAGACTTGCTATGATTGAGGTTCAGTGAGTGTGCAAAATTAGTGTAACATGCATACTAGGGGGTTGGAAACTGGGCGGCTGTAGCAGGAAAAGCAACTTATAGGAGGGTGTAAGGCAAAGTAATCCACTCCCCATTCCCATTTTTATCTTTCTCCTATGCTATCCACAACACAACTAAGACTAAATTAAACCCATTATAGAGGTGCAACTGAAATTGGCTTCAAGAGTTGTGCCTGCTTTCATCAGCAATTCCCATAAAATACAAAATTGGTGCAAATCGAACTAGTGTTGCATACTCACTGAATGTAAAAATTTGGACACTCCTCTTTTAAGACATTACTCAACAAGTTCCAACTGTTTCTTCATGTAAGTTCTAGATTTCACCAAAGAGGAACATTCTTTTATTCATCTGTCCATATCAGCTGTTCTTAGCTTACTGCGAGGCCTTATTTACTTTACATACAACAATAGTTTAGTTATATATTATAGACTTATAGAAAGAGACCTTCTAAAAACGTTAAAATGTATTACTGGCACGCAAAACCTTAAATTAGAGTGAATAAATGAAGACTCGGCACACCACTTCTGAAAGGTTGCCGACCCCTGCTATAGGTTATACTTACTTAAAATTCTTCCCATGTAGCACTGTGGGGTTTTCTGGCTTATTTTCCTGCCTGTTTTTCAGTAATGGCTGTTACGTTTTTTCATTTCACTAAAGTCTATATGGCCATCAAGCCAGGAGCTCTTTTGTTTAAAGTATATGCCCAGGAAAATATATTTTTGTGTGAAAGAGTAAACTCGTGTATCTTAAATTACAGAAGATAATGATATCCATATATTGTAATTACAGCATATAATTATAATTGCATTGCATTAATATTATATGAATAGGTAAATAGTGCAAGTTCTGCTGTAGGTAAAGATGCTAGGGTGTGCATGCCCCTGAAGGCACTTTGGCCTTCAGGGGCATGCACAGTTCTGCTACTGTAATAGAGCACCTAGGCACAACCTCTCCCCACCCACGACAGCTTTGGCATTCCACATTAGAGTACTTTGTGCTCAGATCCCTAGACAACACTTCTGTCCACTTATATTTGAGTTCATTCTGCTGTAATATAGTAATAAATATTTGTAAGCGAATAATTAATTCTTATTTTGCTTTCCTTTAATGGTCATTGTAGCTAGTTTTTTCTCACAGACAATACATTAAAAAACAAACAAACTGTGAACAAGGTGAGCTTTGAGAGCTTCCGTTCAGCTTCTAAACACAGTGGGAAGAAAGAAAATTAATTCTTCGCTCCTGTCATTTCCATACTTTCCTGTAACAACATGTCAGGCTTCTGCTCTTGCCCCACTATGTTAGCAGGTGTTGGAACCCTGCAGAAATGTCAGTTAATTACTGCTGGCTTCACTGGGACAGGTGTAGACTCCAACCTTAATATAAGGGACGTTGGTGTGGGTTGGGACAAAGAGATTCTAAGAGAAAGGTCCTAGGAGCAACTAAGGTAATGTCTGCACTACCACGGTAAGTTGACCTACGCTACGCAACGTGAATAACGTAGCTGGAGTCGATGTACCTTAGGTCGAGTTATCTTGGGGTCTACACTGTGAGGGAGTCGCTCCCGTCAACTCTACCTTACTCTTCTCATCAGGGGTAGAGTACAGGGGTCGACTGGAGAGCGATCTGCCCTCGATTTAGTGGGTCTTCACTAGACCCGCTAAATTGACTGCCGGTGGATCGATCTCAGAGGGTCGATCCTGGCTGTAGTGTAGATGTAGCCTAAGTCTGGGGAAAAGACTTAGGCCTTGTCTACATTACACAGTTTTGTTTGCAAAGGCTGCCTTTTGCTGACAAAACAGTGGAGGTGTAGACACTACAATACTAGTCTTGGTGGCAAAACCAAACAACCTGAACGAGAGGCATAGAGAGCTTTTTGCAGCAAAGTTAAAGTGACAAGGCGTCAGTGTAGACACTGCCATTTGTTACGTCAACTTAACTGGTCACCCCCAGTATCTCACAATGCCTGCCATGACCACTCTACTCATTGTTTTGAACTCGGCTGCCCTGCATCTAGTTATGCAAGCATGTGCCCCTCCCCTTCCAAAGCTCTGGGAAGCTTTGATATTCCTCAGCCTGGAGAGCTCACAGAGCTACTGAGGATGCTGCTCCCTGTAACTGCTGAGGCTGTGGGAGAAATCAGAGGGAATTGGAACCATTATTGTGGAATGTTGTTCTCCCTTTGGGTTATATATAGGGTGACCAGATGTCCCGATTTTATAGGGACCGTCCCGATTTTGGGGTCTTTTTCTTATATAGGCTCCTATTATTCCCCCCCCCCATCCCGATTTTTCACATTTGCTGTCTGGTCACCCTAGTTATAGATTTTTTTTCTGAGAATTACTGACACAGGTTTAGCCTCCAAATCCATACAGAGTACAACCCTGGCACTTCAGCGCATATACAACGTCCATGGAAGTCAGTCTTCTGCTTTGCATGCTTGATGTAAGTAAAAGCATCTCGGATCACATTCTCCAAAAATACCTTTAGCATTCCCTGAATCTCCTCGTAAATGAGATCTGAAATGCACTTTATGCCCCCACAATGAATCAAACAGCTAATAGCTAGCTTCATAATACCCTGGGTATTGTCCCTCAGTACCTTCCTTTGGCGCTTAGCGCCTCCTTTTCTGATACCCTTACCTCCCTTACCATGACCAGACATGTTCGCTGGGTTTACAGACAGAGCGGCCTGCTGGTGTGGGGTGTGGAGAGACTGCTCAAGCTGCTGTCTGAACTTAAGAGACAGCATGCCCACACACTCACTCTCCCCCAACACACACACACTATCTCTTTGACATATACGCTATCCCACACACACAGTCTCTCTCATACTTCCCCAACACACACACACTCTCCCCTCCTCCACCCCACACTTCAGTTGAACAGGAGCTGGCAATCTAGTAGGATACCCATGGAACGATGCAATTGAGAAACCCGCATCATGTGACACTATACCTGCCCCATGAGGCATTGCAAACCCTTCCGAAAGCACCCTACGGCCAGTTACACAGCAGGATAGCTACCCACAGTGCACTGCTCTCTGTTGATGCAAGAGCTGCTAATGTGGATGCGCTCTGTCCACACAAGAAGCACAGTGTAGACCTGCAACAGTGGTTTAATTTAAGTGGCATAACTTTTGTCAGCAAAACTCTATATTGTAGACATAGTCTTAGTTTAGGGCTTCATGTAGTTCTATTTTGCTATTACTCTTTTGTTAATAAAAAAAACCTCAGGAGTGGGGATTTTTTTACCATGAGTGTCTCTTACACTTCCAAATGTGCATGGAAAGATGAGACATTACATGTGAAATCACAAGATTGTCAGGCCATCATTTGGAAAGTGGTTACTTAAATCTGCTGAATCACAGGGCAAAGAAATGCATATCCCTGGTGCTGCCATGGAAAAGTTGTACAGCATCTGTACCTTATAGCTGACGTAGTGTAGAAAGGCTTGATTTACTGTTGCTTTAGGCCATTCTTAATGCTACCTTTTAAATAAACCATTATATTATGTAGATGGTCAAGAGAAACCAAAGTTACACAGGTTTCAGAGTAGCAGCCGTGTTAGTCTGTATCCGCAAAAAGAACAGGAGTACTTGTGGCACCTTAGAGACTAACAAATTTATTAGAGCATAAGCTTTCGTGGACTACAGCCCACTTCT